GATATCAACAAGAGGACAAAACAAATGAACGACAAGCAAACGCAAACACAAGATATGATTACGGAGTTCGGTCAACCCTTGACCTACGTCCTCGCTCCTCACCTCGAGGAGATATCCACTATCACAACGGGTTTTCGACGTTCACCCAAAACATTCATAACTCTACAATCTCGGTTTTCTAGCTCACCAAAAACTTTACAATCCACACTCTTGCAAATACACTCTATACCCTCTAAGTGTTGGCCTAGCCTGTGTCATCCTCCTCAAGTGCTGGGATTCACAACCTCTCTCTAGACTTGACAACCGACGCCACTCCTCTTGGAATCACCCCTGTCTCTCACCACACACTTCTCTCGGTGTACAATGTATTACAAGTGTATCTCACAATTAAGCTCAATAACAAATTTATTCTCTATAATAGATAAGAACACAATGTAAGCTCACTCTCACTATATCACTCACCATAACCCAATAATATATTGTATAAAATATCAAAAGCTCAATAGGGGTGTGTGTGATAAATGAGAACAATGAAATTCTAACTCAATTTAATCTAGCAAGAAAATGAATATGAAATTTAACAATAAATAAGCTATATAAAAGAGTTTAAAAAACTTCTCTATAAACACAAAGAGTTGTAGAAATGATGATGATGATGAATTCCTCAATTAAAATCGAAAGTCTCCTCTTTGCGAAAAACTTCTCTTTTAAAACAAAACTTGAAACAATGCTTAAACACATCTTAAACTTTTGCAAAACTTGATTGAACAATTTTCTTAGTTAGTAGAAGAGTTTAATGTCATGGGGTACAACTTAATACATCAGTAAAAAGCCAAGTAAAAAGACCAAAAACCCATAAGAAAACAAAACGGTTACTCCAGCGGTCGACCGTGGCGACACGTCCGGTCGACCGCAAGATCCTATAAAACAAAGCTGGAGTCTGAGCTCCTGGCCGATCGACCGTGACGGCACTTGCGGTCGACCGCAAACTGATACATTGCGTTTTATAGATTTTAAAACTGGTTTTTGACACGAGCTAAAAAAATAACAAATGTTATCCAAAAATAATGAAACTTCAAGAAAGGTTTATAAATATGAAAATAAACATGTTTGTAAAGAAATTTTAGAATTGCATTTACCATTTGTAAAAAGTCATCGTTTTGCAAAATGCACATAAATACATGTTAGAATCAAAACTTGAAATTTGATTTTGGATATATAATGAGTTATGAAACATTATGAAATGTTTCTATAGACATTATAAAACATGAATGTGATGTAAACATGATCAATAAACCAATATCACAAAGATTTCTAAAAATAGCTTATTTTGTGAGAAAAACAAATATAGTGTGTGTGTGTGTATATATATTGAGCTTGAAACATTTTCACACTATATATACTAAACAACCAATATACATAAGTGGCTTGCTCTTGAATTTTTGGCTCTTGATATGAATGACTTTTCATCACATATAGATAGCTTGTATAAGAAAACAAGCCACAACCACTAGGAAACATATTAGCTATAAATTGTTTATAAAATCATCAAAACAAGAATAGAGAGTGGGCACAACCACTAGGAAACATATTAGCTATAAATTGTTTATAAAATCATCAAAACAAGAATAGAGAGTGGGCTCAAAACCTGAGTCTTAACAGGAGTTTGGTCAACCCATGACCTACGTCTCTGCTCCTCACGTCGAGGAGATACTCCACTATCACAAATAATCTACACAATCGGTTTCTGAAGTTCACCAAAAACTTTTACAACTCACACGTTGACAATCACACAATACACTTCTCTAAGTGTTGGCCGACCCGTGTCACCTTCTCAAGTACTTGGAATCACTACCTCTCCCTAGGCTTTTACAACCAAGCCACTTCTTTTGGAATTGACCCTGTTCTTTTCCCAACCACTTCTCTAAGTGTCCTTGTGTATTACAATGTGTTTTACAATAAGTGCAAATAAAATAATTGGTTCTCCAATACAAATTGATAATGAAATTTAAGCTCTCTCTCTCTCTCTCTCTCTCTCTCTCTCTCTCTCTCTATGTAACAACCCCACAACCCAATAGTACAATATGTGTAATACTAAAGCTCAATTTGGTTGTGTGTGTAAATAATGAGTATAACAAAAATTAAACTCAAGTTAATCTAGCAAATATATATAAGAATTAAAATGACGATAAGTTAGATTAAAGAGTTAGAAAAACTTCTCTAAAAGACAAAGAGATGTAGAAGTTGATGTTTGAGGTGAAACTCCTCAAAACCAAAATTTGCAAGCTTTCTCTTAGCAAAACTCTTTTTGCATAAACCAAAGCACTCTTTAAACCTTGAAACAAACTATTGAAAATTTGGTTAAAAACCCTTGAGAAAAACTTTAGCTTGAGGCATATTTATAGCCTCAAAAATAAAGACAAAAAACTAGCTGTTACTGGGCAAACTAGCCTTTATTGGTCGACTGATGAGACTGTAATTCTGAAGGCTGAAAAACTACACTGATCAATCGACTGATGATCATCGGTCGACTAATGGCTTGTCATCGGTCGACTGATATGAAGTAATCAGCCGACTGATGAGTCTGGAAAAACAGACTCTGGAAAACTAGTCTGATCGGTCGACTGATGGACTAGTGTCGGTGGACCAAAGCTGGGTATTTCAGATACAGAGATTTTCTAGAAAACTAACTTTGTAAATTCAATTAAAAATAACAAATCATCTCCAAAATTAATAAAATTTGTGGAAATGTTTGTATATATGAAGATGAACATGTTAGAGAATAAAATTTTCAAATTGCATTTCCCAAGTGCGAAAACTTACCGTTTTTGCAAAAATAGTCCAAAATACGAAAACATGAATATGTGACTTTCATGAAATCATCTCAAAACATGTTATCTTTGCCAAACACAATAAATATGAAACAAATGTATATGTTTGTAAGTATATCTACGAGTTTCATATTTATATGGCTAAACTTGTCTAAAGAGGTAAATGTGCAAGTGTATGTTTTGAGCTTTAATATAAGCACATAACGTATAAAACTAAAACTATTATACCCAAGCTAGAAGTCTTCATTCAGCTCAATCGGGGTATCGGAAAGAAGCGCAATATTGAGTCTTGACTTGAACACGCAAGCTTCATATCATCCTAACCTCTTTGAATGTCATCGTTATGCTTGATTTAGACTTGAATACATATAGGAGGAAAAACACAAATACTAGAAACAAGATTAGAAATTGTTTGTTAATCATCAAAAGAAGATTAGACAATAGGCTCATAAACATGAGACCTAACAAGAACAACTACTGTTGGCATTTTGGTAGTGGACTTCAGCCAACATTGACTTGCTCTCGGTGGGCCCCACGGCTTGCATGCGCCAACGAGCCCGTGGACCTAGGGCGTGATAAATGGTATCAGAGCAGTTAGCCAACTGAAAATATGGAGCTAAGTGCTACACCGCATGGATGTGGTGAGAGCCACCTCTAGAGCCCGTAGGAGCAACCTCTAGAATCCATATCACTTGGCAAGTGATACCGGGATATGCTAATTATCATATCAAGACGCTGAGGACGTCGTCTTTGTAAGGCGGGATGATTGTGACACCCCAACTTTAATCCCACATGGACTAGTGTGAAGAAATGTTAGTGGTTTAAATAGAGAAAAATCCAAGGCCCAAGAGCAACTGGTTTTAGCATCTTGGTAGTAGACTTTAGCCAACATCGAGTTACTCTCGGTAGGTCCCACAGCTTACACGCGCCAACGAGCCTGTGGGCCAATGGCGTGTTATAAATAAATGATAGAAAAATAATAGATTTTGATTCTTTTGGGCTTTTATTATTAATTCTCCATTAATTTGCAAATTAAAATAAAAACACTTTATTAACGGAAATTTATTCAAATAAAATAGATAATGAATTTAGTAATAGTATGTGAGATCATGAAGATTTGAGGGACTAATGTCAAATATTTCTGACCAGCAAGCAACTTTTGGTCATATTTAACCATCGGGCGAACAAAGAGCACCAAAATAACATTGGATCAAGGAAAAAAAAACCAAAGTAGTGGAAGGGGTCAATAAGATTTTATTAAAATCCGGGTATCAAAATTATATTTTGTTGAATTTTGGGTATGAAAGTTAGGTTTTGTTGAAACTCGGGCATCAAAATTAAATTTTGTTGAGCTTTAGATGTCAAAGTTAATTTTTGTTGAACTTTAGGTTCTTTTTTTTTGGACAATATAGAACTTTGAGGTATCATCTATGGGGATACTTCAAAGCAAAGAAAAACTTTATGTACTAAAGTTAAAATAGGAAATAAATTTGGGTATCTAACTTTCACATAAAAGTTTGATAAAATTAAAGTTGTAGGTTAGAACTGTCAAAATATAATTTTTTGGATAGAAAGTAGAATGGAAAATTAGATGAGATTGTATGTTACAAGAACAATAGACGAGTGATTTTCTAAAACCCAAATAAGTAACGATGACAATATAAAATAGAGCCTAGTTTAAGCGGGTGGTTTCCAGCCTTCGATGGGTTTGGTGGGGGGCGAAATTGTCATTTCCCTCAATCCATTAGAGGACGAGAGCTACTTGCGCGTATGCGGATGATTCTGAGTGGATATGTAGTCTTTATCAAGTAGAGCGTACATTAAGTGTGGTTCCTCTGTAAATTAGAGCCACATAATTGACTGGTTTGAGAGGTGGGAGAGAGAGAGATGGAGGATTATGGATTGCCCTTGGGACTTATTGTTGACTAGATTAAATTGCGTCCCGTAGGCCATTTGAAACTTGCGTGGGGACAGGTATGGTAAACCCGTTCTTTAAACGGGTCGGATATCCTGACCCATTCCGGGTCAGGAACTTGCGTGGGGGAGTGGGGACAATATTATACATGAAATGACCGGACCCGTTTGCCACCCGACTCTGGTTCCTGAATAAATCGCAGCCGTCCGAGGATAGAAGACCGATCAGCAACTATACCCGTGTAAAGGTATTGGAGGTCGCAGCCGCCTCGGTTTCTTGGTCCCTCTCTAGGGTTAGGGTTAGGGTTTGGGTTTGGTGTCCCATCTGATCGATCCGCAATGGAGAGCAAAAGGGGGGAGGAGGAGGAGATGACAATCACTTTGAAGTGCTTGCCTGGGGGTGTTGAAGTGGTGCTGTCGCCAGAGAATGCCGAAGCAGTGGCTAAGGAGTCACTGAAGATATGGGAGATGATCAACAGCGGCGAGAAGGAGGCTGGATTCCGCGTGGGAGAGGGGGTCCTTCGTAAGGCGATGGAATACTGTTACGAGCACGGCCGGCGCAAGAGGTATACTCTTGTCGATTTCATGTACGGGGGCCAGTATTATCCTCCACATAAGCACCCGGCCGAGTATGAAGAGAATAAGGCCGTGGATGAGGGTCTGAGGGATTGGGATAATGATTTTATTCGTGGTTGCGACACGGAAACCGTCTTAGAGCTCATAACTGTAAGTACCGCTTCATTTTCTTTTTCTTTCGGCGGCAAGCTACGCGGCCTACATTCAATTGTTAAGACCTGACCTGATCGCACTTAATTATTAGTTGTCTCTTCTTAAACTCGTGTCGTCTGTCAAATCAAAATGATTTCTGTAGGGTGGTAAATGTGTACAATATTGCACAAAAGGCAACTGCAACTTTTGATTATTTCTCGCACTTTGATGGTACGTAGGTGGTGACCAAGGCTATTTGCCGAGGCTCACATCCTTGGCTCAATGCCGTGGAATAATTAACTGTCACACATTAGCTTAGGCATGTGGCTTGTTTTCATTTCACGATACAGATCTGAGCATGTACTGATTTACTGGCATATCTGTCCTCCACCACCTCTATTGGAAAACTATACTTTCACTGCTCGGCGCCACCACCGGAAAAGCCCGACCATAGGTCGAGAAGCAGCACGGGTTTCTCTCCTATGATGTTTTTGGTTGTTTCTGTTTGCAATTTCTTTCTTCGTTCCCTTTCGGTTTGGTATTAAAGAGCGTGGTGGCTCTACCAATTATATTTGGCTATTTAATTGTTTTGGGTAATGCTAGTTGACGGTTCACGAAAATTTAGATAGCATTGTCGCATCTGTATAATTTCCCTACAAACACTGCGGGTTCTTCTTGCTTGAAAGTTTATCACACTCATGCATTAGATATAAGATATACATATATGTACGTGTGTGTGTGTATGCACAAACACTAATGTGCATGAGGTGGCGACTCATTTTGTTAAGTGAGCTACCATTAGATGGAGTGGTGAGGTACACAATTATTGATGTGACTAGAAAATTGGGCCTCGCCACGTGGCTATCTCTTGGTAGTTCATTTAGCAAAATGAACCGTCACCTCATACACATTATTCCCATATATATATTGCATGTATGTTTGTGTGCATATCAATTTTATATTTGGGAAGGTAATTTGGAAGATCAATGAAAGACAACCGATGCAGTGTATGAGAAGAATCCTTTGAGGCCAGTTTCGGATTTATTTTTTCTAATTAAAGTTGTATGTCTATATTAGCACCCTCGTGAGAAATTAGGGCAACGATGTATTGTTGTTGTTTGTGTAAACTACACTTAAATATTCATGAAAATTCACTTAAATACCTAAGGTTTTTTAGATAAATACCCAACGCAAATTGGCAGTAAATAGTTAAGTACCAAATATTTTTGAAAAGTTTCATGTTGCTACCTATGGTTTGTTGATTTTCAACAAATTCCAATAATATGCTTTTTTTTGCCATGTCTTGTTTTCATCCTTCCTTTACCCTTGCACTTGATTTAATTTACGAAACATACCCTTTTCTCATATGATGCATGCGACATGTAATTTTTGTTCCTTCTTTATCCTTATGCTTGACTTAAATTAAAACTCTACCCTTATTTCATATGAATCTTTTTTCTCATATAATTTTGGTTCCTTGTTTACCATTACACTTGATTTAGCTTACATACTCTACCCTTATTTTGTATGATTCTTATTCCTCCCCAAAATTTGTTGCCTTCTTTACCCTCATAATTGGTTTAATTTAAAAAACATGCCCATATATATGTTATATGAAGCTTAATTCTCCGTGAGTGTTTTTTGCTAGGAAAAACTTATTTTGCTTAAAATCTTTTTTGCATAAATATTTTTTACCCTTATTTTGTATGATTCTTATTCCTCCCCAAAATTTGTTGCCTTCTTTACCCTCATAATTGGTTTAATTTAAAAAACATGCCCATATATATGTTATATGAAGCTTAATTCTCCGTGAGTGTTTTTTGCTAGGAAAAACTTATTTTGCTTAAAATCTTTTTTGCATAAATATTTTTTGTTAAGAAAAAATTAATTTGATTAAAAAATTTTCTGCATAAATCTTTTTTTGGAACAACTTATTCACTGAAACAAAATTTGTTAAAAAGAAGTATGCACACTTTATGAAAGTATGCATTTTTGTTGTGCAATAATATATACTTGAAAATTTAATCATGTATGATAGCCATGCTTAGGGTTATAAAAAACATGCACAAGGACTAAACACATAGTTAAGCCAAACATTACTAACAATTAAGATAATAGTATAACCCTAGGATTACATTGAATCAGTCAAAAGGAGGACGCAACCTCTTACGAAAGTATGATAGCCAATGTTATTAAGTATGAAGGTAGGAGCCATAGAGGGTTTAAGGTGAATAGGTCGTTGAGCAAATAGTCCTTCAATGCAATGCATTCTGCCTGCTCCCTTGGCAAAGTGCTTGCCTACTCATAGCTCCTCTTTGCATTCTCCAGTACATCTTCATAGGTCCAAGTCCTGTCTACAGCACAGAAAGGGCAGACTAATTGCACTGTCCACGATGATGTGTTGCCTGCCTTGCGGTTCCTCAACCTTGTAATTTTATAGATAAGAAAATTGTCCACGTTGATATTGTTCCCTTTTGTCTATAAACAATGAAAAGGAAAAAAAAAAGAACTAAAAGTAAGGGAAAATAGAAAGCATAAAATGGGGAAAAAACAAGACACTGAACTTGGGGAAAATTAGAAGTGTAACCAAACCAGGTGCCAGACCAATGTGATCACTTGAGAAATGAAGTGATCCATATCCGTAATCTTCAACAGAATCTGCACCTGAAATTATAAAGTTTCAGAATGGAGAAGGACATGCTTTGAAATCTAACATATTATGATTACTGGCGCAGATGATTTGGTGTAGATTGTGATAACCTTTCTTTGGTATTTATATATTCTTCAATTGTTGGTTTAGTTTCAGGTACCTAAAATACTCATTACCTTCTCGGGTTGTGCTAGTTGACGTGTCGATACAATTGAAAGGTTGCATCCTTTAGGAAACTTATTCATGCACAGGGAATTACTAGGAAAATAAATTCATAATTGATTTTTTTTTTTGAGGAAAAAAAAACAGGACTAGAAGCCCTGTTCATGTATATATATGCAAAAAAGGATAGTAAGAGTTTACATACACAAAATGAGGAAGGTGAAGGAAGGGGGACCATTGGAAGATGTAAACTACCGGGAGAGGGCCTTACCGTCACCGATAAGGAGACATCTTCAATGTTCCCACCCACTTACCAAACAAAAGAAAAACCAAAAGACTGCAATAAGTACAAGTTCATGTGGGTGAAAAACAAGCAACGATAGAGGGTTTGCAACAAAAACAAAAGGGGACTAAGAGGCGGCTTTCTGCTGGCAAGCTGAAGAGGAGATGAAATATCATGGGAGCCTGTTGCTGTCTTCACTTGATTCCAGGATCTCGGGGAGGCCCGATGATTTGAGGATATTCTTTAGTTTGATGGCCTTCTTGGAGGCAGACGCACCTGTCCAGAAAAGAAGAAAGTTTACTGATTTGCTGATGATTTGCTGTGGAGAGCTGGTCAAGTTGGAGAAGGTGCAGTCATTCCTAGCTTGCCAAATGACCCAACATGTGGTGGGGAAGCATATGCTCCAGAGTTGACGAGCTGTAGATTGAATGGATTTATCATGACAGATGGCTAAGCATTGGTGGATGCTGGAAGGAAGAGGGCCTATATTAATCAAGGTTTTAAATATCGGTTATCGGGGATTTATCGGACGGCCAAAATCCTTATCAGATAGCGGAAATCGGGGATATATCGGGGATAAGTAGTATTTATCGGAGTGATATACTGGATGATGTGTATATATAATATAACAATTAAAAAATATAATCTAATCATGCTTAATGAAATATAAACATACCAAATGTAAATCATCATGTTTAGAATCACTAACAAATTGTAGAAAGCGAAACTTGCATCATAGCCTTGAAAAAATATAATGTTAGTCAAAATGGGCGCGATAATCGATAATCCCCGATAAAAAAGTCTTACTTATCGGCCGATAAGTGCCGATAACGCCGATAAATCGCGCGATAAACCTACAAAAACGATAACCGATTAAAAATCTAATTTATACCTAGCGAGAGCTCCCAAATCCAATAACTCGGCGATAATATCGATTATCGGCGATATTTAAAACAGTGATATTAATCTTAGTTAGCAATGGCACCCAAATCTGATTGCGAAAGTACATTCAAGGAATAGATACTCTTGCGATTCTGGGAGCTGCAGAAGGAGCAGGATGGATCCCTAGCCATCCTTGGTTAGACAATCTGTCCCTGGTTTAAGTCTGGATAAACTCAGGAGCCAGAAGAAGATTTGTACTTTACTTGGAAGCAAATTGTTCACAATGATAGACTGGAATTGGTTGCGCTAGTCCTCCGTCTGCAAGAGAATAGTATAGAGACTTGACAAAGAAAATGTTTGAGGGGGATATTGACCATAAAGGCTTGTCTCTGCATTGGAGGCTGATATTACAGGAGGTCAGGAGGTCAGATGTTGCAGAAGATTCTGCACCTGGTTTCTTTCACCATCATTAATAGGGCGCCTGATGATGCGGTTTCAAATCCATGTATCCCCTGATTTCTACCTTGGGAACAAGAGGGGACTAGTTTGGAGAAGGCTAAGAGGTATGCCTTCGAAAAAAGGCTGGCAAGGAATTAGGACCCGTCCATTGTCTTCCAGAAGAGGATCTTAGAACCATTACAGAGACAATTGACGAAGCCTGAGAAGAATTTATAGCAAGATTGGACGTCTTTCAGAATCTGGATTAATGAGCAGGGGTGGTTTATGGAGATTGGGAGGATAAATAGAATGGAGCACTCTACCAATATGATTGTTGCTGTCATAGAATTTCCAAATCCATTTGGAGAGGAGAGAAATATTGAAGCAGATGAAGGTTGTGGACTCTCAGCCCTCCACAAAGTTTAGGAGAGCAAACATCCCCCATCTGACGCGGATGATTGCCAGAGGAGCGACTGCAACTCCTCCCCAGAGGAAGTTGCGCCTAATTTTGTCAATTTTGTTAATGAGCCATGAGGGGAGCTTGAAGAAGGACATGTAGTATAGAGGAATGGACGAGAGGACTGATTTTAGAAGCCCAATCTACCACCAATCGACAGATGTTTGCTTTTCACAAGGGAGAGTTTGACGATTTAGAGAGTCTAAGAGAGGTTGCCAATCGCTCTAGTTAATGATCCTCTTTTCAAAGGGAGACGCGAGGTATTTGAAAGGAGGGGATGAATAGGACAGTGAGGGTGTTGGCCAGAAATAGTTCCCTTAGATGCCGATTTGCCACTATAGAGGAAGTTGGATTTAGAGAAGTTTATGACAAGACCAGAGACATCTTCGAAAAGATAAAGGATAGATTTGAGGTTGGTGACGTCAAGAGGAGCTACTTTACAGAATATGAGAGTATCGTCTGCAAATTGTACAGATTTGATGTCATTGAGGCATACCTTGAGGTGAAGCTCAGAGAGGTCTCCATGGATGCAGCTATTGTGGAGCATTCTGCCAGAGGACATCAACAACTAGGAGGAAAAGCATAGGAGACAGGGGATCTCCTTGCTTTAGGCCTCTATGACAGGAGAAGGGCTTGGGTGAAGCTCAGAGAGGTCTCCATGGATGCAGCTATTGTGGAGCATTCTGCAGAGGACATCAACAACTAGGAGGAAAAGCATAGGAGACAGGGGATCTCCTTGCTTTAGGCCTCTATGACAGGAGAAGGGCTTGGTAGAAGTGCCATTAACTAGCACTGAAGATGAGGAAGATAACAGAATGGATTTAATCCATGATATCCATCTGCTACCGAAACCCCTAGCCTGAAGGAGGGAGAAAAGAAAATCCCAGCTGACACAGTCGAAAGCTTTGCAGAAGTCGATTTTAAAGATACATACTTCTAACTTCTTAGAGAAGCATTGATGAATCATCTCATGACCTAGAGCAATGGAGTCCATGGTGGATTTATCCTTTTGGAAGGCCGATTGAGTAGGATGAACCAGAGTTGACAGGAGAGGGCTTAACCTGTTTGCTAGAACTTTGGAGAAGATTTTAGAAAGGCTATTGATGAGACTGATTGGTCTGAAAGCTGAGGGATGATCAGGAGAAAGAGTTTTGGGGATGAGGGATATGAAAGAGTGGTTGATAAGGTGGAGGTTGGAGGGGTCATGGAAGATTTGGGAGAAAAAGGAGATGATGTCTGGTTGTAGGACATCCCAAAAGGACTGGTAAAAGAAAAGAGGGAAACCGTCAGGCCCAGGAGCTTTGTCTGGGTGAAGACCAAATACGGCTGTCTTGATCTCTTGAACTGAGAAGGGGTTGTCCAGAAAGGATAGATCGGCGCTAGGAAGAGGGTATAGGTGATCCCAGCCTAACTGAAAAGAGGAGGATAAGGATTTGAATTGGTTGGAAAAATGATGGAAGAAAGCCAGTTGTTTGTCATCTTCTGAGAAGAGAGTTGTGTTGTTGATGGAGAGGAGCGGAATAAATTCATAATTGATACGTTACATAATTGTAAAATATCATTAGATTTAAGAGTCATGACATTTTACAAGTACTATAAAATTTTGAAAGAAATATCCATGAAATAGGAAGAGAAACAAGATAATTTTGCATCAAAACTTAAAACTAACCAATCTTTCTTTGCTTCAATCTAAAATTAGAAGGAAATATTCATGAAATGAGAAGAAAAACAAGGCAATTTAGCATCACAAACTTAAAACTATTCAATCTTTCCTTGCTTTAATCCAAAATTTGAAGGAAATATATATCCATCATCTGAGAAGAGAAAACAAAGACAAATTTTCATCAT